CTTACCAAAATGTTATTGACATATTTTAAAAACAAACAAGAAAAACAACAACAAAACAAAACAAATACAAAACAATAACAACAATCAAACAAAAGCAAGAAACATACGATTCACATTAAAAACTTGTTGTAGTTTTTTTTTCATCTCCATCAACACGATCCAGATCATTTGGGAGGCGGGCTTCGACCCTGCCTGTCAGGGGCAAAACCGGGCTGAAAGGGATGCAACGTCCCAGCAGAAATACGAAGATACTCAAATTCTCTCAACGCATGAATCGAACTCAACTCTTCAGCGTGCGACGCTGAATCGCATAATCGTCACACCACAGATGCCTTGACAAGTATACGAAGTAACACATTTTTAGGCAAGGCAAAATGGAATGAGTTTTTGAATAAAAACAACATTGTTGGTCGCAACTATGCTTTATTCTGATTTCTGAAATAGGATAAACAGACCTTGCTCAAGCACTAATCCCAATTACCACCTACGTAAAAGCTTGTCTCATACATTCATTACAGAAAAAAGGGTATTCTAAAGTAAACGTTTCTAAAACGTTGATAGTCACCTGAAACTACAAATAGCATTGTCGCTGTCATTAGAGCCAGTACCGCCTGTTTTTACCTCTGTGGTCTGTCGAGTCTTTGGTATGAACAAAAACATGCGTATGTATGGAAAGAGGCTGGACGGCCAACATATCTAATCGATTTGAAATCTTTCGATTCTTTTAAGGCCTACATTTTGGACATCTTACTTTGGATTCTTTTTCAAATTAGAGTTTTGCTTCTGACCTTCGAGAATTTGCTATTTTTTTAGAATAAACTGGTTTCATTTACCTGGTTTTATGCAGACTTATGACATATTTTACCTGGCTGGTGAGTTATCTATGAATGATAGATAATGCTTCAGTGTATGAGTCTGCCGCCTTACTTGCAAAAACTGAAGGGTTTCCTTATATAAAATTAGTGTCCTATTACGGGCTTTTGAAAATAAGAAATTTGTATGAAACCTTATGATACGTTAGCAAACGACATGGAAGGTAGATCTACATGCAATTATGCAATTGAACTGAGTTTGTAGTGCTTCAGTTACCGATAGAACATGCCCATGCGAATGATCTTTCATTGGAAACAACATACCCATAAAGGCGAATAAGTGATCAATTTCGAGTTTTCAGGTCTTTGGTTTCCCCCTGTTTACGAGAATGTAACACAGAAACAACGACCCATTGTGTCGATTGACTGGCTTCCTTGGAGACTGAAAGACAAATGACGTTGCAGTTGCTATTCATGTTTTGTATTTTGTGCATTTAGGAATGTAAGGCCTATTTTACTTTCCGCTACCTCACTTGATTGTTTCGGTTTTTTCTGATATTACTCTTTTGCCAACTCAGACCTTTATTCTGGCACAAAAGAGGTTCGAAAAAAGGCAACGTAAGAATTAAGAAAAGAAATTACTAACCTTTATTAGATAAATGGAGGTTTGTCAATAAATTGAGTTGTATTGTTTGTTGATTGGTTTGTTGACTAGTTGAGTACTTGTACCGCCCTGCCCACGCGGGTTGTTGTACTTAATATTTAAATTGAGTGTCGAAATTGTTTATTGTTTGACGTAATACATAGATATACAGTCATCGTAAAATGTGATATTAAATTGAGAAAATACAACTATGACAAGAAGAAAAGTCATTTTTCTTCTTATAAAAGTAGAATGTAACCTTGGATTATAAAATAAGTAAACATACACAAGTTGCATACTAGATCGCTCACCTCTGGACGTGGGAAGATAAAGTACAATGTTAATATGATATGCCAGTTGTAAATATATTATTTTGACATTTAAAAATTATTTTTTGTCTAAAACATTAACATTAAACATTTTGTCTAAATGCTATACGCCAAGACGGACGGAAATTAAAATTTGTTCATCACATTTTTTTTCCGAGAGAGGGAAGCCACATTCTTTATTAGCCCCCCCCCACATCTCTTATTCTTCATTTTCGTCCAGATCAAAACAACGGCAACGGCGGAGCTGTTTTTCAGTCGCTGTGCGATTGCGTTTAATTTCGCGGCATTAACGATATCGGCCGTGTAGATAGATCTAGATCTTCTTGTGCCAACAAAGCGTACAGTGTAGTGTGTATTCGTCAAAGATCTATAATAGTAAGTTATCTCCCTTCTTTTCTTTTCTATCTCGGGTTAGCCTACTTGTCCTAGCGACCATATTCAATAATTTATGCCGATGTGGAAGAAATCTTATTAAACTATCATTTCAACATACACGTGTGGTGTGAACGTTCACTGGTCGTTGTCTTTAGAATGACTGTCGTTAGAGCGACTTTTCCTAGTCTGAGTGTTTGGCGTGGAGGCGTGGTAAGGATTGATATTCTTCTAGTCTCAAAGCAACAGTCCAGAAATACCCCTCTTGCGTTCCAGCATTAGATATTCTACTTTATATTACAGCAATATGCCAGAATATAAGCTAACGATATGCCGTCACAGTTACTTATTGTTACTTGATGTTTTGTTGTATCAGCCGAACATTGTTGCCCAGTTGGTCAGGTACTTGGTCTGCGCTTCCGAAGTTCCAAGTTCGAATCTGAGAGGGACCGGTGCTTATTGTTTTTCCTGGAATGATCAGTCTTAGTCCAACTCCCGGACGAAATTCCATTGATTTACCTTCAAAGTCACTAAATTTGTCTAGCGGGGGGGGCGCTTGGATCAAGAATCAAGGAATGCAAAACCACGCTAAAAGACAGAACAACTTCACACCATCCGATGTAGACACATCAACACCTCAATCGGCTAGGAAAAAGAAATTCTACAGATCGTTCAGCTGAAACAGAAAAAAATCGAAAAAGAAATGAATAACGTCATCAAAAATGTATACGGCTTCTCATGCCCGTGAAAAGAATCCGTATGTGTGAGACGGCTGTCCTTGCAGGGAAATCGTGCGTCTATGCTCACTGGGTTTTCCTGCGTCTGTTTTGTCTGGCTCTCACAATGATAACATAATTTATTATAATAAAAAAGCAGTGCGAGGTACATTGACTTTCCTAGGATCCACATCAGCAGTTTTGTGGGGTGTGTGGTTTAGCGTGGAATGAATTGAGCAGAAGAAAAGTTTTGTCTTTCATATTTTTCCCTTACCAAAATGTTATTATTGACATATTTTAAAAACAAACAAGAAAAACAACAACAAAATAAAACAAATACAAAACAATAACAACAATCAAACAAAAGCAAGAAACATACGATTCACATTAAAAACTTGTTGTAGTTT